GAAATACCTTTGTTCCCTATAGAAAATACGATACCCTGAATATTTTCGGGTGAAATGCTACAACAGTAATTCCGTGCGCTTACGGATTATTTCTATATGCGTTAAGAAATACCAACAATATTCATGCATGTTCCATCCATGGTGCATTTTATAATGTTCTTGTAGTACTCATGACATATTAAACGATTAATTATGGGTCATTAACATAGTATTTATGAGATTTTCTATGATGTGTTTTTCGATTGTTCAAGCTGTACCAATGAGATGTTCTATTATGTATTTTAGGTTGTTTGAATAGTATACGCAGGATGTTCAATTCTTCTTTATTTTTATCAATTATGTGGCTTTCTCTTTTTATTTCATGTTTCTTTCTATTTTTTCTTTCCTTTCTATTTTTATTTCCTTTATCATTATTTTTCATATTTAATTGTTGTTATTTAATTATTTATTTATTTTTATCTTTTTGTTGTGTGTCTCGTAGCATTTTTTTTGCGGTAATATTAACTTAACTATTTCTTCCCTAATAAAATAAGACAATTCTCATAGTATTTATGATGTGTATTTTCAGTTATCATTATATTATTCATGTGATGTTTCATGATTGTTTTTATAGTATTTTGGAGATATTCTATGATGTATTTTGAATTTTCCCCGAATGTTCATGTTCCATACATGGTATATTTTTTGTAATGTTCTTATAGTATCCATGAGACGTTTCATAGTGTCTTGGGTTGTTCACGTGTAGTTGTCCCTGTATTGAGATATCCCAAATGTTGTCCTCGATCGAAGTTTAAGACAATTGGTTGACAAAATGGAATATGGAATACTATGGAGTTGTTGTTTAATGGTGGAGTTGTTGTTTTCAGTATGGAATATTGTGTCCTCTTCATTCCTGTGGGGCGCTACTTATAGTGTCGAGATTACAACAGAAGGACCCAAAATGCCCTACTCTAAAGCTAGATTCTAGTGATACTCCTAACATGTAGGGACATTTTGGTCCTTTCGTAATATACCAGTACAAGAGTCCAAGTCCAATTTTGACTTCCTATGTTGACGGTCGTTCACTGCACGACTTCGAGCCTTGCGCTACTCCTGACACCTCCGACACCTGGTCTCCTTGGACTTTGCAAAATGTCCTTTGTGGAGCCCTCAAGGTCTCCGAATGTAACCATTTTGGCTCTGCGAATGACCCCGCCAGGTTCCTCAAGAGTCAGGACAATTTTGTGCTCATCCTTTTGGGGACCCTGCGAGGGTATCTTCGCTAGGGGTCATTGCCACCACGGTCCGTGCAATAGTCAACGCTTTGAGAAGCCATGAATGCGAATTTTTATTTTTAAGTTATTAGCAGCGGGAGAGCAGGGGGGCCTGCCCCCTAACGTTGCATTGTTTTAACTACTATTTTTTATTACTTCTCACTTTTCTAATGTTAGATTACTTTTCTCAAAGACATCTCTTGATTATCTAATGTTAAGTGGCTAAATAAAATAAATATGTGATGTGCATTGTTGATCTACGAAGAATGGCCCATCAATTTAGATATTTACTTTCTCCGTCCTGTAATATAGTGCATTCAAAAAAAATTAGACAACTTAAGGGAATCCTTAAATGGTGCAAACCAATAGATTTGACTCAACAAAGATCCCCAATTAAGATATTTCTTCTCAAATTATGGTATCCTTTTTTTAACAAACTTTGCCAAATCTAAGCATTGACACCATGTAGAATGCATTATATTTTAGTACAAAATTTGAAATTTATAATGCACTGTATATTCCAGGGTGGGAGTAGCATTTTTCTAAGATGAAGAGAGATTAAAGATGATTTATTATAGTTTTTTTAAAACCAACATCAAATTCCATAATTTTTTAAGCCAGCGACACTTAGTGAGCGTCCACCCTCCCCCCTATATCTAAATCCTGGCTCCGCCCCTGGTTATTAGTTAGAGAGATGTGAGAAAGGGGAACCCTACAAATGGTACAGGTCCCCAATATTATTCAAGCAAACCAAGCCACTATTGAGACTAGACCATGCCATTTCTTTTTGTCTTATTTTTGTTTTATCAATTTTCTTGCCTTTTCTTCATTTGAGATATGACATGAGTTTGATAGTGATCATTTGTAATGAAACCTATTCAAAGTTCATCAAACTCGTTTGTCCTTTAATTTTTTATCATTCAATCACCAAAACCTACTAGAGGGCCTATATGAGGGCCTATATGCAATTTATAAGCTGCTTAGGGACAAAGTAAGCTAAAACAGAAGCCTGGCGGCATGTTTTTCTGTAGCTTTTTCTGATCATGTCTCTCCCCACTGCCCCCATTTATACTGAGAGCAAGTAGAACAGTTGTCTTATAGCCAAGCTAGTCAGCATTTTTGGTGAAGTGGTCATGTGGATAAAAGAAGGGAGGAGAGAGAAAAGAGCTTGGCTCTCATACAAGCAACAAGCTGAACATAGAAGCATAGACAGTAGTGGGTCCCAATAGAAATGTATGTGATAAGGAATAGAGAAGAGAATGAAAACATATAATAATAAAGAAATTTTATAGACAAATAGAAGACTAGCTATTGTATAGCTTGGCTCTTATAATTTGACTTATAGCTAAGCACTTGACTCTATTATTGATCTTGCTCTAACCAGTTACCAGGGAAGCTGTACCAAACAAAAACCATGGAGGTGAGCTTAGAAACCGTTTGAAATAGAACCTTGGAATATAGACAGTACAAGTAGAACCATATCTGGTTGGGAAAAATATAACTGTTGCAAAAAATAACATTTGAAGCGTAGCTCTTGAACATAATATCGTACATATAAAATGGTTAATTTGTTAGCTAGTATAAGATATAAATAAAGAGGTTAGTGAAAGCAGAGAAGCAAATATGAGGGATTTGTTAGAGTGTACAAAGAAGTAGTAGCTAGATCTGAATAAAGAAGCCTTACTTAGAGGGATAAAGCATCAATATTTGAATGGTCTCTTAGAATTATTGCTCTTACAGTACTCCTCCATTTCTTGTTGTTTTCTTGTGTAATATGGAATTGTTGTTTGCTCAATTTAGGTCTTTTTAATTAATATTGACAGCTCCCTGTCCGGTTCCTTTAGAAAAAATAGTACTCTGATCTATCAACAAGTTTTTTTTTAATGTCACGGGGGGATATTTCCCCACCTAAATTTTATTTGGCCCCACACGGCCCGTAATATTGTTTACAAGATCTTTACACCGTTTTAGAAATGGAGTTTACATGCCACTTCAATTAACATGTTTTTCATTTCCTAGCTGTCACGCTATAGTGTGAATGGGTCGTTCTCTGGGGTGTGGTCGTGTGGACGCGTACACGTTCCTTTCAGTTTCTTTCTAGAACAGTGGAACGCCTGCGGACAACGTGAATCGAGAGAGACATCTCAGTTTTTCTGCGTCTTCTTCCGGTTTCAGCCACTCACACTTTCGGGGTTGCCCCAAAGCGCCGTCGACAACCTTCCAGCCGGCAGCTCCCCAGCGGCCCAGCCCATGCTTCTGTAGCCTTCGCACGTCCGTGTCGAAACTCGAAACAGCCGCATGTGTAATCTAAATATCTGGGGGGACAGAACTGCTTGCTGCACGTAAAAACCCTGACACTAGTGCAGGACTTCGATCGCTTCACTGCATCAAAACTGTCAACACGACAATGGCAAATCTAGATTGACTGAAGACGGATCTCAGCAGGGTTCAGTGTAACGATACAACTATGGGTACTACGATGAATCTGATTTAGAACCAGATAGTCCGCCTGTTTGCTAGGTCATATTTGTCTTATAAGTTATGGTTTATCAGTCAACGAATAGTATTTTTCTCTCATATCAAATCAGTCAACAGTACTTTCAGTCATGGCTTATCAGGCAAACAAGAACAAGGCGAGTATCTCCGGTGGGCAAGGTTGCCGTCAGCCATCTCGAGCCGCAGCTCGCCGCCAACTACTCCGGCAACAACCCACTCCCCCTCGATTCGTTCTCTCCCCTCACCGTTGTAGCCATTACAGCTGTTGTCTCACAGCGTACACCAGCGCAGCTGGGCTTGGACTCATTTACGCCGTTCTGGACCGGATACTCTTGGATCGGGCTTCCTTGGCCTCTTGCTCGTTGGCGCCTTCCTTGAAGCTGGGCCGGACTCCACGTCCATAACGTCCCATACCATGACATTCAGATACACAATAAGCTCTGCTGTTCTGACTGGCTTAGCTGTGCTAGCAATTTCGGTCATTCACAGGTGAAGCCACAACCTGGACTGCCTCTCTGATGATGATTGATCAACCGTAACTCTTGACAGTATTCTGAATCCTCATCTAGTACATCCCTAAACAAGAAATGCCAGAACCAATCTTCTAATGGATTGCAATTATAGGCAACTAGTTCTCTGTGTCAGTTTGGAATACAAAATACTACGGAAAAGACATGTTCATCGCCAACATGCTGATTACAAGTAACTAATCAGGAAAAACTCAAGACACATTCATCAATATCTCATTTATCTGGGAGTAACTCTGTTCGTACCAATGGAATTACAGCACTAGTGATTCCAATCATTTACAAATTAAAACGAATCATCTATAGTCTTCATCAAGATGAATCCAAGCAGGAAACATTTGTAATATATGGACTCACTCTGCTAATGGAACTAAGCAATAACCCGAAAGTTTAACCAATCCTTTCAAAGCCGTCGCAAACTTGTTATTTCTCGAGAATTTTGAATGAAGGGCTAAACAATGAATCAAGCGCATCTGAAGACAGACGCATCACAGTTTTAAGTTATCAGAAGAGCAGCTCTGATGTTTATAATTGGCATAGTTTTGCTAATGGTTTTCCATATTCACAAGCCATCCACGGTCAACACGAAGATGAAACTACCCAATGAACGTTACAATCTTCGCCGTTTAATTATTAACCGTAATTTTTGACAGCCATGAATAGTACACTGATGTTTATATACATCACAAAACAAGAAACCATAGAATAGAGCAGTAAAGTAGTTCTAGTTCAAGTGAGACCTCCTAGGCACAAGGCGCGGGCGTAGCGGCTTCTTCATGACGACAGTGAACTCATTCTTCTCGGCGAAGTCCACCTCGTGGCCGGGCACCTCCTTCCACTCGTACTCCAGCACCATGTTGGCAACGAAGTACTCCAGGTGCAGCATGGCGATGCCAAGCCCCGCGCAGATCCTCCGGCCCACGCCGAACGGCATCATCCTGATCGCCTTGGTGCCCGTCACGTCCACGCCCTCGCCGTCGCCGCCGGGGAGGAACCGCTCCGGCGAGAACTGCATCGGGTTCTTCCATTCCTGCTCGTCCCGGCCCATCTCAGCGACCATGAAGTTCACCGTTGTGCCCTGGGGGATCAGGTACCCACCAATTTCCATGTCTTCCGCCGCCTTGTGCGGCAGCACGAAGTGGCCCGGCGGGTGCTTCCGGAGGGCCTCGAGGATCACCGCCTTGAGGTATGGCATCTTGTGGACGTCCTCCTCTGAGATCCCTTCCTTGTCGTCGTCGGTGGCGGCCTTGATCTCGTTGTAGAGCTTCTCCTGGATGGCTGGATTTTTTACAAGCTCGGCCATGATCCACTGCAGCCCTGTGGACGTGGTGTCCGTACCGGCGTCGAGGAACTCGGAACATAGGATGCAAACCTCATCATCGGTGAGCGGGCGATCGCCGTCCTCGTGAAGCTTGATGTCGAGCAGCGTGTCCACGTACGAGTGCTCGAACGTGGTTTCCCCTTTCGGCTCGCCTGCTTGCTTCTTGTACTCCCGGCGCGCGTTGATAAGCGGAAGAAAGAGCTCCTTGACGCGCCGCCGCAGCTCCCGTGCTTTATCGAGCCGAGCACGGAAGAGGTGCTTGGTGACGGCCGGCAAGAAGGCAAAGACCACCATGTTCTTAGAGCGGTAGATGAGTCCCTCCCGCTGCGCAGAAGCGATGGCGCGCACCGCGGGCTCGTCGAGGCGCTCGCCGAAGCACATGAGCACGAGGAGGCAGAACATGGCGTACTGGAACGTCTCCACGACGCGCGGAGGCGCGGCGTCGGGCCAGGCTCCCCGAGCTTCTCGAGGAGCACGCGGCGCACCCACGCGCGGGCCGGCGCGAAGAGCTTCACCCGCGACGGGTGCAGCGTCTCGGCGACGAGGTTGCGGCGCAGGAGGCGCCACACGGGCCCGTAGCTGGCGCCGGTGATGGTGTTGTCGTTCTCGCCGAGTAACCTGACCGACGCGAGCGCCGGGCGGTCCGCCAGCGCCGCGCCGCGGTCGACGAGCGCCTCGTGCGCGATGCGGCGGTCCGCGACGAAGACGAAGAGGCGCGCCCGATGCGGAGCGCCACGACGGGGCCGTACCGCTCGAAGAGGCGCCGCAGCAGGGGCTCGATCTCGGCGGGCGAGTTGGTGAGCCACACCACGCTGCCGAGCAGCGGCAGCGACGGCGGGCCAGGGGAGGCGGCGCCGGCCCCGCGCGCGGAGCAGGAGGAGGAGCGCGGCGGGGAGGAGGAGGAGCGCGCCAAGGAAGAGTCGCGTCGCGTCCATTGGTCGGTTCAGTCGCGCCGCGTCCATTGGTCTGATTTGGATCAGAGTGTATCGGCGGCCGGCGGTGGAGACGGGGGTGGGTGGATGGAGGCGGATTGGAGGTGTCGATTTATACGGGAATTGGGGAGTGTTCCACGTGGGGGGTGATTAGCGGTGCTTGGGGTTCTCATTTCTTCATCAGCAAGTTGCAAGTACAGAATTGGGGCCCGGCCATTTGGATCAAGCATCGCTGACGTCGGGAGTGATGGATTGACTCGTAGAAGGTTCCGTAACTGATTAGCTGTTCAATTGTTCGATGGATCGTCAGTTATATATATATATATATATATATATATATATATATATATATATATATATATATATGAATGAATGAATGTCAACAGTCAACACGTTTAATAAAATTCATTCAAGCATCGCCTTCACGCCGTGTGTGTGGACTTTCGTGGCAATTGTTCGATGGATCGTCAGTTCATTTGAATATATATATATATATATATATATATATATATATATATATATATATATATATATATATATATATATGAGTAGTTTTGTTTAGAAGAAGTACCACGAAATCATTCAGGTCAAATTTTTTTTTTTTTGGTTGCATTCAGGTCAATATTAGTTTTAGCAGCAGTCACTAATAAAATAAAGGCAGGTGTTGCTCTATTAAACTTGAGCATATCATGGCTATTTACACGAATCTATGAAGCAAACCATACCATCGTAGTATCAATCCATGGCTAGTAGGTGACAATCGACAGTTGGAGACGCCTTGTTGGGCCTGTGATCCACTGTGCAGTAAATAGTATTCTCCATTGCCTCTAATCGTACCTCTATAGCAGCTAAAACAGAAGCTGATAGGCCATAATCGGCACTTCAGGGCAAACACTTAGCACTGAATGGTCAATGCAATCAAAAGCACTGAATGGTCAATGCAATCAAAAGTACAGGGTACAAATAGGGATTATAGGCCTGGTATCAACCTCTGATAGCAGCTTGGCTGGTCGCTGTTTTGATTTTATTTGGCGAGTCTCTGCATGTAACCTCTGCTCTAATATGCTTGTTTGAGCCTTCTTCGACCCTTTTTATTCTTCTTAATATAACAGTTGATACGCACCTCAAATGGGTGTTGAAGAAAAAACAAATGTTGCAGTTGCAGCTAGCTACAACAAAAGGGGTGTCTAGAAGCAGAACTGGACTGTTAAATTCTAAATTCTGAAGATGTGTCATGCCTGAACATTAGTGGGAGGGTATGCTATCTTCGCTTACCTTGCCAAGCACCCGGCAATAAGAATCAAAGTGCGGTGGTGGTTTTGAATTGCTAAATAGATGTATGCATGGAAAAAAGAAATGATCAAAGCTAGTGGCTAGCTTGTTTCCACAGGAAGTATTTGCCGTCAAAATGTCATTGATAATATGGAACTGTTAGTCTAAGAAGATAAAAAGAGAAGCTGACCAGGTGTAAACTTATGCAAGAATGTGTTTTGTTGCTGCAGAAGTATTTTCCATGGACCACATGACCTAATATTGAGAAGGAAACCAGGCACTGTACCTAGGATTTATTAGATGTAAAGATGTAAACATACAAAACAGAGAGCAGAACATAAGCGCCAAGAGAGGAACCATTTTAAGGTATTAATTAATAGGCAACGCTGTATAGGAAGAACAGATCGTCACTTTTTAACTTTTTGGCTAAAAATAGTAGGATAATCCAGTACAATATAAGGCATATATTGATTACAATTGTTGATTTATTGGCCATTTTAAGGATGTTCTGATGACAACATTGTTGTAGCAATCTACTACACTAAATCCAATTTGGTAGGAAGCTTTAAATTTCAAAGGCATGCAGTGGTCCTCGCTGGTAGGTTTTTTTTTTTTGTTTTTTGAAAGGGTCCTAGTAGCTGGTAAGTTGAACCCACATTTTCTTGGGTGAGCTGCATATATGTACTTTACTGCCAATACCATGGACGTTTTTATTTTGTGCAGGCAGAGAGGCCTTCTGTGAATTGTGATCAGTGTGAGGTTGAAGCAATCCTTGGCAGACAGATAAACAGTGAACAACTAATTCAGGGCGAACGAAGGAATAGAAAACAAAGGAATAGGAAAAAATTTAGGAAAGGAAGGTAAGCAAAGTGGCAAAACAAAGGAAAGGAAAACCATAGGAAAAAATAGGAAGAGACGTTTTAAACATAGGAATTTGTAACACAGGAATTACAAAGCATATGATTGATCAAAGACACTTCGCACATAATGACGTTTTGAACATACAAATTTGTAACACATGCATTTGTTTTTATTCTTACTTTTTAAAGGGTAGGACCTGCTATCCATGAGTTATATAGCTTGCAGTAGTATGGCTGCATACGTCAGTGAGAGCAAAGCTACCATTGCATGGTGACACGGCTTGGCTAATCATTTGTCCCCCAGCTGTGTTAGCGCCTTAACGGCAGCATGCTGCCTCGGACTTCCGCGAAGAGCAGAAAACCAGAGCATGGAGTGGATTTTTTCATTCCTGTGAAAACGCGAAGGGACTACAATATTCCATAGGAAAGGGAGGGGTGTTTTCCTGTGTTCCAAACAGCATGGTTGCTTCCCTTTCCTCTGTTTTGGTTTCCTTTGAATTTCCTACAAAAATCCTGTGATTCAAACAGCCCCTCAGCAGGTAGAACTCTAGATGACAACATATAGCTTACCTTGTGGCCAAAGTTTGGAACATCGATCTGGCTTGTGTGCAGTCAAATTGAAGAGCGGCGAGGATCATGCGATCTAGAGCAACAATCAGGATGCTGAGTGCATGAATCGAGCAAGGCGATGATCCCAGGGGTCGAGGGTTGATGGTTGGTTGCTTCGGAATGGTTGACGAGGCAGCACCTGTCGTGGGATGTTAAATCTAGGAGAGGCAGAGGAGCTTGAGACAGACTTTTTTCCGCCTTGTATTCCCCACGGTAGAAAGCCAGGAAGGAGCGTGTGGGGTGAGGCCAAGTCGGGGAGGAGTAGGACTGCAGGAGAAGGTGAGGCCGTTGAAGTGCGTCTTCTTGCGGGTCGTTGGTGGTAACGTATCGAGAGGAACTTGTTGGAGACAGGGGGCCATCGTGTCCAGGGCTGCGAGGAGGTGCCTAGCATCGCTAACGATTGGGCCAGTACAAGCAATCATGAACCGAAGGGGAGGGCCATGCCAGAGCACAAGTGAACCACGGAGGCCTTCCTTGCAACATCGGACCCCTCCGCCATGGCGTGTATATTTGCTGAGCCGATGTGTCCTGGCAGGCCCAATCAACCCCAACTCTAAACGATGCAGACACACTGGAGAGGCATGGCAGCCAACGCGAACCGAGAAGGGCTGTCGGGGTCACGGAGGTACGTTTATGGCACACACCTTGGTAGTAAAGGGACGCACATATGTACGGTGATAGCAATAGGTATACTGATAGCAATCGGAGAAGTAAAAATAGAAGCACTGTTGACAACCAAAATTGTCCATGTTTTTAAGTTGTCAAAATGTGAAACTGACTATATCATTGTGTTCCTCTCGTCGAGATGGTCAAAAAACACATATGGAACGTCCAATTCGAAGTCCGGATGAAGAAGTTATACCCCCGGGAAGATTACTCCGTTGCTGGAAGTTCCGACCCAAGTCGGAAGTTCCGACAGGTGTCAGAACTTCCGGAAAGCCTGAAAGAACCTGCTCGGGTGCCTGGGGTTATCCACACGTCGGGAGTTCCGACAAAGGTCGGAAGTTCCGACTCCCGGAAGTTTCGGCGGTGGTCAAAACTTCCGGCATACCTAATTAAAAACCTTGTTCGGATCTGACCTTTTGAATTCCGATCCGAACTATTCCAAACTCGTGGGAAACTTAAAAAATAAGTCTTGGAGAGGTTTTCTACTGGGATAAGACCACCCTCTCTATATATATGAGATGATCATGGCCGATTGAGTTCCCATCTATCCGATTGTCAAACAAATCAATCTACTACCTCTACTCCAACTCTTTTTACCCTCTTCTCCAGTCCTCATGTTGTTCATCCCTTGATCCGACGACCAAAGATGACGCCCTAGGCTTGCCGGTCGACCTAAGGCAACCCGGCGATGTCCTTGCCCTGATGGGGTCCCTCTTGGGCGAGAGCTTCGACCGTTTCTTTGCTAGTTTGCCTGAAAACTAGCCGGTTCTTTATCACGAAAGCACGTGGTTATCCTTTGGTAGTTTGCTTGTAAACCTCTTCGTTCTTCACCATGAAAATGTGACATCTTGCTGCATTCTTTGGTCCATAGCGGCCCGTGCGTCCAAGGCCCTGTTGGTGTTTAATTCGGATCACTTCCAACGTTAACACACTTTTTGGCGACTCCGTTGGGGAAGATTGGTTCGGCTATCTTTTATAGCCGATCTCTCTGACCTAGCCTTACTCCTTGCTGATCTATCTTCTTGAGCTCGCCATTATCATTGCATTTGGCCCAAAAGGTTGATCGCATCTGGTTTTTACCCCTTATGATCCCGTTTGCTATTCTACAACGTGTTGTGCTTGCTATTGGAAAATTCAGCAAGGCGGTCAAGTTCTAAATCATGGAGTACCAAGGTGGTTTATCATAAAACTACTACAATTACCCCGAGGTACAGCTTGCAAATGCATCTTATGGTTCTAATAATTATTTTGTAAGTTCTATGAGCTCTCATGTTGGTGTTGCTAGCTGTAATGATACTAAATATGTTACATCGGCTAATACTTTTGTTAATGCTCCTCATAATACGCATCATGACTATGAATATTATGATCAAGAGCCAATACATGTTGTAAATTTTTTGACTTTTGATGCTACTAGCAACATACAACATGTAAATCGTTATTCATCAGCTATAAGTTCACAATATGTGGTTTCACCACAAGACATGCCGATGAATGAGAGAATTGGCTATAACAATGCTAATTATTTAGCCAATTGCTCTCAAAATTCGTCACCATATGTCAATGCTCCTATTTATAATTCAGATTCATGTGTTA